AAGTGGGGTGCAGGGTGGGGGGGTTACCTGGGGGGGCAGGGAGCCCAGCAGCTCCTCCAAGGGCAGCTCCCCCTCCCGCTTGAGCAGCTCCAGCTCCCGGCGTCGCGCCTCGGGGGGGGGACCCTCGGCGACGTCCTCCTCGTCCTGCAGCTCCATGTCCCCATCTTTTGGGGAGGAAGAGGCAGGGCTCAGCACCCACCGGTGGCCCCTGTCCCCCTTCTTCCCTCCCCAGCACCCACAGGGTGTCCCCATCCTCTCTAGGTGTCACCAACCCCCCCTCCAGCACCCACGGGTGTCCCTGACCCTCCGCCCCCTCCCCACCACCCCAAAGTGCCCTCTCCCCTTGTCCCCGTCCCCTCTGGGTGCCCTCGTCCCCTCTCCACCGTCCCCAGCACCCCTGGGTGCCCCCCGCGTCCCCGACCCCACGGCGCTGGCACCCACCTTGGTGGGCGAGGTGGGAGTGGGGGGCGGGAGGACCCCGACGGGGCGCCCCGGGGGGGGCCCGGGGGGCGTTGAGGCTTCGGCTCAGCAGGTCCGAGTATTTCTCGGTCTGGCCCACGATGAAGTCCAGCTGCAGGTCCAGGGCCTTCTTCCGCTTCTCTTCCAGCCGCGACTGCTGCTTGAACTGCACCACCTGCGCCGACCGCTGCGCCTCAGCACCCAAGGGCCCCCCAACGGCCCCCATGGGTGACCAAGGGCCACGCAATACCCCCCAACAGCCACCACGAGCAACCAACGGCCACCCAGCAGCCACCAAATGGTCACCACAGGCAACCAACGGCCAACATGGATGACCAACGGCCACCCAAAGGCCACCACAGGCAACCAACGGCCACCCAACAGCCACCATGGGCAACCAGCTACAACCCAACAGCCACCATGGGCAACCAATAGCCAACACAGATGACCAACAGCCAACCAATAGCCAACACAGATGACCAACAGCCACCTGATGGCCACCATAAGCCATCAACAGCTACCATGATGATCGAGGGCCACCCAATGCTACCCAAGGGCCACCCAACAGCCACCGTGAGCAATCAACAGCCAACCGACGGGCAACCAACATGGATGACCAACAGCCACCCAACAGCCACTGCGGGTCACCCAACAACCACCC